AGGGACTGAGAGCATGAGGGTCCTAAGAGTCTGCTGTCTTGGCTGGGTTTCTCTCCTGTGCCTGGCATTGCTCCACAAGGAAGGCAATGAGCAGAGCTTGCAGTCTGAATTGGCAACAGAAATCGGTTTGCTACAGCTGCAATATAACCAACCAGTCACAGGAGAAAGGAATGTCAAGTGGTTTTGGTGTGATTGTACCCAATAGGGAACTGGAAAACATGGAGTGCGCATCAATTTCTGTAGTAACTTGTTCAAGGTGAATGACAGAAGTCCTGTTTTGGGGTTCATATCATCTGGTACTTCTCATTCTCAGACTTGAAACCACCTCTGAACCCACTACCTCATGCCTGTGCTGGAGCCCTTAAACAGATAATCAGGGAGACTGACTGTTGGGCTCTGCAGAGAGGTCCTGTGAGGCACCCTTCTGTCTGTGCATGCCCTGGGACAGCTCTGGACACCAGCAGACAGTGGATTTTATTCAGTTCTGCTCACATCACACCAAGAGGGAGAGGGATAAACTGCAGGGAGTTTTCAGCCAAGAGCAATATTGCTGGAGTGATTAAATTATAATAGGAGACAATGTAAGGAGAAATTCTATTTGGTGATGCTGAAGTAAGAACTAGCAGGCAGGGACATGGAGTGCATCAACCTCAGTGAACTAGACCAGTTAACAGGAGTGACTTCAGCAACATGACTGAGGACAGAGGGGCAGCACAGAGGGCAGAAGTATGTGGCCTGAACTTTAGGACAGTTTGGTGGCAAGGCCCAGCCAGGAGTTTCATCTCCCAAGGGAAGTGGGGAACTGGCCTACGCATTTGATCCCACCTTGGACAAGAGACTGAGGCCCCTAAGTCTCTCCCACACCCTGTTGCCCTCCTCTTTTGAAGTGACTAAGAGCTCAGGCTCATTCCCCTTCCTCCAGCACCCCTCAGCACCCTCCTTCCCATCCTTTAAAGAACACCCAGAGCCCTCAATGCTGTTCTCTCTCTGACATAAGATCACTTCTTGTGGAACAACAGGACATCAGTGCTGTCTCCTGAGAGTCACTCAGAGTGCTCTGTCCCTCTCCTAATGGCGACTGCCTCCCAGTTCATCTTCTGGGTGATGTTCAGCACTGACCAGTCTAATGCACCACAAGTGCACAGGAGAGCTAGGTATGCCCGTCCCTTGCCCTGGGATACCAGAGCCCCGACAGTAGGTCCCATCTCTAATTCACCTCTGCTCAGCTTGGGGCTCTTTTGCCTTCTGGCTGCTGGCCTCCCTCTTCCTTCCCACTCTGTGAAATTGGAAGGAAGGTTTAAAATTGGTGTCGGCACTGTGCACTTGTTTCACAATGCTCCATGAGGCTCCCTGGCACATAGAAGGAAATTAAACATGAAGCACCAAGTGCAGTACCAAAGCACCGAGCAAGGACCAGGAGTCCTGGCTACATCCTGGGGTCCTGGCCGTGGGTGGGAGGGGTGGAGGAGAGCTGGGAACTGCAGGAGATTCAAAGTCAAGATCAAAGCATTTCCCTCTGAAGCCCTAACACTCTCCTTCCCTCCCACTTGCACATAAAAGCACTCTGCCCTCAGCGGGCTCTCCACTGGGGAGGGTGGGTGGAGGAGGGGTCTGCTTTCCCCCTCGTTTTTCCTGTGTGACTAATAATTCTTCTCATAGGTGAAGTGGTGAAAATCCTTCGCCTCTCCTCCCCCATGCCTGCTTCTTACCCAGATCCAAAGGGCCTGAAGCCGTTTCAATGGCTATGAGTTCATGGCAGACCTAGCCTGCTTTGGGGTGTTACCAGCCGATGCCAGCATGGGGGAGATGCAGCAAGAAAAGCCTTTGAAGTGTACAGTAGAAAGACACTGTTAGAGGCAAAGCACAAGGAAGGAGGATTGAAAAGAAAGCAGAGCAGTTTGGCCCACAGGAGGGGGAAAGGCTAATTAAGGCACAGAGTGTGGAGAAGGAAAAGGCAGAATCATTAAGATATCACAGCAGGAGCCCATGGTGTGGCTCCATGGAGGTTTAAGCCATGCTGAGCCTGGCCTCTGCTGGTTGCCTCCCTCGGTTCCCCATTCCCACCCTTCGCTTTGGGGTGGCACAGGAGTGTGAGGGACTCTCTCAACCAATTCAGGTTGCTGGTCCAAAGGAAGATTAATTGGTTTAGTTCACACCCTAATGCAGACAGAGCTGAAACTCAGGGTGGCAGCCTTCATTACCTCTCTCTTACTAATGATCTAACAGAGGGCTAAAGCTTGGAGGTGATCCCAAACTGAAGAAACTGCAAACTGCAGTGAGGATGGGCACATATGAAGAGACCAGAAATTGGAAACATGGGCAGGAAATCGTGGATGCAGTTTTGGAAAGCCCAGGAGGGGGATAATCTTCCGGCGGTGCTTCATTATGCAACATCGCACAAAGCCAGCAGCATTAAGAAAGACCTGTGAAAGAGGGAAAGCAAGCTGCAGAGTCAAGGGTGCAATTTTGTGTTTCTTTCTGTGAGCAGGCAGCTGCTGTTTCCTTCAGAGAACACCCAGAGCCACTTGCCCCTCGAAGACAGTGAAAAATGGCTTTGTCAGGCTTCTCCCTACATCCCAGCTACAGGCCAACAGGCAGAGAGGGACCACAGGGAAATGGGAACACAGAGAGGCAGTGGGGACCACTGTGAGCCCAGGGGTGCAGGAGGATCTGGCTTTTCTCACTGGTCCAGGACAGGGCAAAAATGCATCTAACAGCATGCAGGGGAGGATGGGGGATGGGATGTTTCACACCTAGCAAGCAGGAGCAGATGGGGCTGGATTTAAACACCACAAGGAATTCACTCACACTGCCTCAAGGAGTCCAGGACCTAGCAAGCCATGCCCAGCTCTCTCTTCCCTGGATTCATGGCACTTTAGTGACAGGTTAGCAATGCAGAGGGGTTTCTCTGGGGTCTGTAGCTAGTCAGGGAGCTGAGATATGGCCCTTCAGTGCAAACAGACCCATAAACCCCTGCTCAAGTTGTGATTCCCCAGTCCTTTCCCAAGCCCTGCCCCCAGGCACACACTGGAATGGCCATGGTGTTTGCTGGGAGAGAAACGTGAGAAGTGGAGCTGGAGTGCTGTAAAAGATGTAAATGTTTCTATGCTGAGAGCAGCTCTGAGTGTCTAGGGCACAGCCTCTGAGGGGGGATGGAGAGTCACCGGGAAGGCACTTCTCTTTTGTTCTTGATCTTGGCTGACTTAGGAGGGTTCCTAGGAAAAATCAGGTGGTGGTCATGGGGTGACAGGGACAGAACAAAGGGTGGGGAGGAGGAAGAGGTAGGAGGATGGGCTTGGGATAGACAGTTCTGGCCGTCTCAGATCCTCTGGCTCCCTTGGTGCTGAGAAGCCATTTCATCAGCTGGGAAGGGAAGGGGAGGAATATCCCCTTATCATAAAGTGGACAAGAGAGCAAAGAAGTCAGTTCAGTCCCGGCAAGTACTGAGAAGGTGACACACACAATTGCCACAGCTGCAGTACTGCACCATGAGAGGATGTGACTGCCTAGGAGCAAGTTGCCCAAATCTGATGCAACAGCTGAGAAAAAAACCCCAATTCTTTTAACATAAAAATTACTCATCGCTGAGGTCAGGTTTTCAGAGGGTTGATCTCTGCCCTCTGGAGCTTAACCTTTAGGTATGACTGATAGCATTGTGAATTCCATCAGTAAAAGAGCCGAGAGAGGGAGATGAGGACAAGGAGAAAGGGACACTGCTTAGGGACAGGGCCATTTGTTGAGGAAACAGACTGATGTGTCTTCTTTCATCCCTGAGTGCATATACTCTGATTTTGTGTATTCAAGTATCTAGACCACTGAGCAGCTAGAAGCAGAACAAAGATGAAGGAGATGAGGATGAGGGAAGAGAAGGAGGGCTGGGAGGCAGGGAACTGGGAGAAGAACAAAGCTACCTGGTGTATGGGAAGGCGTATATGCAGAATCCCAAAAGCTCTGCAGAAGAAATGGCATCAACAGGCTAGTAGGTGTGAGACACATGAGTAAGGAAGGGATGACAGCTCATAGGATCCCTCATCCCTGATCATCAGGCTTGTTCAGAAATTTACTTGTTTTGAAACATTTCCTAACCCAGAATTCTGGGTTATGAAACCAGAACTCAGCCCAAATCTGAAAAAAAAAAAATTGCTGGTTTCTATATGAAACTTGGAATCACTGAGAAGCCAGAGAGGGTCCATTCATTGGCATAGGCCTTTGCTGCTTTCTTGAAGTCTCTCCCTATCCTCTGCCCGGGGTTTCGTGCTGCCCTGCTCCAGTTCACGCAGGAGAGTGGGAACCAACGCTGCCATTCACCATCACGCTGGGAATCGCTGCCTTAACCCAAGGTCCCCCACCTGAAAAATCCCCTGCAGTGGCCACCACGAGTTGTGTGTCCTTTCGAAGCAACCTGAAACTTCACTGCCGACCCCAAAATAAGCCAAACATGCAGAACTAGTACTGGTCCTTCTTTCTTGTGCCCTCTGTGACTGGTGGACAGTACCCGCTGCCCACGGGAACCGTCCCTCAGCCTCTGGGATCCCCAGAGGGAGCAGATCGCGCCTGCCCAGCTCTTTCCTCAGGGGAAGGAAGGTTAGTGCCTGGTTTCTGCGGCCCTGCTGCCTGTTGCTCGGCCCTGGAGCCTGCCCGGCAGCCCCAGGCCGGCTGTGTGAGCGGGCGGGCTGGGTGGAGGTGCGGAGCGGGATCGCACCCACGACCCCCGCATCCCCCGCCGGGTGCCTCTGCCCGGGACCGCGCCCTCCCCGCATAGGCTCACACGGCGCCGCCAGGGGGCGCTGTGCCAGCGGTGAGGGAGCGGCCCGCCAGGGGGCGCTCCCGCCGGCCTGGCGCGGGGGGGCGGTGCTGGCGGGCGGGATCTGCGCGGTGACGGCGCACGCGGAAGGGCGCGGCGGTGTCGGCGGGGCCGCCCCCGGGCGGGGCTGATGCCGGGCGAGGAGAGGTGATGGATATCGCCGTGTAGCGCCCGCGGGGGCGGCACTCGCCCGGGCGGTTCGGCGGGTCCGATGGCGGGAGGCAGCGGCAGCGCGGGGGGCGGCGGGGGCGGCCGCCGGTGAGGAGGGACAGGACAGGCCGGGCCGGGGGCGCCTCCGCGGCCGGGCGGGAGGCGGCGGAGGGGAGGGGAGGGGAGGTAGGGTGGGGTGGGTACCCTCGAGCTCACTGCGGGCCCCCGCGTGTCCCTCCGTTGCAGGGCTGCCCCCCGGCTGGACGGGCTGTTCCTGCGGCGGTTCCTGCGGCTGCTGGCCGTGCTCTTCCCCGGGTGGCCCTCCCCGAGCGCCCTCATGTTCCTGACGCTGCTCGGTGTCGCCTTGCTGGGTGAGCCGGGGTGATGGGGAGGGGGGCGCGGCATCCCACGGTGCTCGCCGTGTTCCCCCGCTTGGCCTTCTCACCTCTGTCCTTCAATTCCTTTCCGTGCTTGCCTCCATCCTCCAGAGCAGCTGGTTATTTACCAGGTCGGCGTCATCCCCAGCCAATACTATGAGGTCCTAGGGAACAAGGATTTCTCCGGGTTCAAAACACTGACTGCCATTGCCGTGACTCTGATCATAGTGAACTCCACGGTAAGACCAGAGGCTCAACATGTCTTGGGAGAGGAAGGGAAAGTTCCCCTTGGCTCCCATCATTATCCTGGTCACAGAGGATCTAAGTCTGCCCATGCCCAGTTAGGTAGCTATGTGTGAGATGGATCGCTAGTACAAACTGATAGTTTTTATTTCATTTTGGGAAATGCTTGTTCTTTGCACTTATCTCTCCTGTCTTTCTCTTTGCCCTCATTCCAGCTAAAAAGCTTCGACCAGTTTATCTGCAACATGATGTACGTGAACTGGAGGCAATCCCTCACTGAATACCTTCACAGCTGCTACTTCCAAGGCCAGGTCTACTACAACCTGCACGTGCTGCGTGAGGACATCGATAATCCGTAGGCTGCTTGCAGCTTCTTTCAGTATCTTGCTTGGCTTCTCCTAGGCTGCTGTGCACCTTTTCCTGGCTTCTCTGTGTCTCTGGGTAGGGGTTTGAGCCCTAGAAGCTTTTACCATTTAGGCACAAATACCCTCTTCTGCTTCGGTGGTACCTGTTGCTGGGAACTCCTGTGACTGCTGGTCATGATGGTTTTAGGGGTAGAACATTTCAGTTGAGAGGAATATGGATATCAATCAGAACAGGCATCTGCTTCTAATATAAAACATGCTGTCTGCAAACTCAACCCTTGGCACTCAGTGTGGTGTTGCAAAGTGCCTGGCTGAAGTCAGAGGGCAGTGCCTTCCCTTGCATTCACACACCCAGAGCTTTAGGACAGTCCCTGTTCTGTTTGAACTTCAACCACCAGAGTATGCAGCTGAACACAGTTCTGTTCAGTTGGGTTTTTAGTGGTTATGATAATCGGGGAATCATGTCCAGGAAGGGCTTTGTTTTGCACTGTATGAGGGCTGCATTTCCCTTTTCCTGTTCCTAGGAAGGAAACGTCAGGGCTGACTTGAAATATGAGAAAAGGAGGAGCATTCAGTCCCTCCCTGCTTATCTCAGCCCACCCTGACTGAGGTCCCTCTCCAGTTTGCTTTGTGCACTCTCCTTCCTGCTGCAGAGCTGCTGATCTTCATGGGCTGTGCAGTGAAGGCCGAACACCTCCCTTCCTCACAACTGCATGTGGACCTTGGCCTTCCAGCCTGTCCTTGGACACGGGGCACTGCTGTTGTAGTTACGCAGTTTGAAGAGTTAAAGATCCTACGTTAGACATCATGTGAGAAGTCGCAGAATCACAGAATATTTTGAGGTAGAAGGGACACACAAGGATCACTTAAGAGTCAACTCTTAAGTGAAGGGCTTATGCAGGAATCGAACCCATGGTGTTAATAGCACCGTGCTCTAATCAACTGAGCCAATCTCAGGGTAGAGGCTTTTCTCCCCCCTTTGGAATTTAAAGAAGTTATTATTAAATACTTGCTGAAAAACAAGAAATCAAGGGATAATGTTTTCCGAACAGGTGTTTTGAGAGTCCAAGCTTTACTCCCATGGAGGGGGCACCTCTGGTCTAGTCACTGCACTGGTGCCATCTCCCACATTGATGGCACCAGGGGAGACCGAGCCCAGGGTCCCGGGGAGAAATGGCTGTCTTTCAGGGACTTCTAACTCTTGTTAATAGTGTTGACCTCAAGGAACTGAAGCAGCCTGTGTGCTTCTGCTGCTTAGTGCTCCTGGCTGCCTGTCCTCACCATTTTGTTGCACAGCGTGGTGGTCTGTGTGGCTGCTACAAGAAGGCGTGCTCTGGGTGTCCCAGACGTTTTTTGTCAATCGCTTTTCAGCCAGACCCATTCCCTGGCTGCTTCTGCTGTCCCAGTGCTAGAACCTGAGTAAGAGCAACTCACTGCATGCAAGGGGAGCAGCAAGCAAAGACAGAGGGCTTGGCTTCGGTCAGACAGCCCTATGTGCTTGGCAGGAGCTGATCATCATCATGCTGAGGCACTTTCCAGCCCCTGTTGGGTTTACTCCCACCATCGTTGAACGTTCATTTCTGAGAGTGTGTTGCAGTGGTAGTGGAGTTGCAAGGAGAGGTTAAAAATCCATGCACCAAGGCATGCAGTGCTTCCCAGGCAGTGTAGCACATTGGCCATAGCCAGAAGCTCCTACAAGCCTATCTTTTTCCTTGGGGGTGGGGGGAAGTGGAGGACAGAGGCCCCTAACCCCATGATTATTCTGCTCAAGTTTATTTTTAACTAGGGAATGTGTTCACACTGTGCAGTGAAATGCAGGAGATAACTGGGTCACTCTGCTCTGCAGCAATAGAGCCAGCTCTCCTGACCTTAGCAGACCAAATGTGTGGGATTACTGCGGAGTATTTCTCGTTACCACCTTGCTTCTGCTCCAACATCCAATCTTATTGTTTAGTTTTTTTTGGTGCCACTGCAAAAATTCTCTTCATCTTGCAATTTCTTGATGAGAATTTTTTCTCTGCACCTTAGAGAGAATGAAATAGAAGGATAAAAGAGACCTCCTATTATGCAGTGCAAACCAAGCTGAGTGTTAGATGCATGGAGTTATCCATCTCAACAGAATGAAGAGTGGGTTCTAAGTGCCATATAAACACTTGCAGCACCTAGCAGGGCATTTGAATTGATGTTTATGTGTTTTCATTACATGTTGCTTAATAGCTCGTAAAAAGCAATAGCCTCCCAATGAGTCTGTAGCGCAACTTAAATTACAACTTTATGGGAACAATTGCAGTCTGAGGAGAAGGAAAAAATTATGACTGTAAGGTCAGTCAGGGCGAGAGCTGCCCCAAACCTACATCCATTGCTGTTCCAGGGCTGCAAAAGATTTGAGATGAAAGTCATTGTAGTTGTATCTGCACTGAGAATAACCAGGGGTCCAGCCTCACTCTTTATTCTGGTCTCCAACATCCGCAGTCATGTTCTTTCCACTTGGGCATAGCACAGCAGGCTGAAGTCCTTGTCTGTGTACTCCGGACAGATGAGGTGCCGAGGGAATAAATACGCTGAAATTCTTCTAGTTGCCCCAGGTGCAAGTCCTGCTCAGCAGTACAGTAGGTGGGACTTGAAGGTCTGTCACCCACATGCCTGCTGCCAATGAGGTGAGAATGCTTGGTGTACTGCTGCCTGCTCCTGTGAGCTAGGGCAAGTGGAAGCACTGCCCTCCTTGCAGCAGAGGGACCATTTACTGTGGAACTGTGGCTTTGATGGAAGTGTTTGCAAGTATGCAACAGATGACAAAGGCCTGGCCTGTGCCACGGCCGGTCCTGCTGGCTCTGATGCCTGAGATGCAGGACCAGTACTAAAGGTCTGGGGGAGAGTCGGCAGTGTCTTGTAGTTTGGGAGTTGTTCCAGGAGAGCAGTAAAGGACGAGGATGCAGAGACCTTTAGCACAGAGTTGAGGAATGTTGTTGAAAGTGAAACAAAGGATTAATATAAGGAACAGGATGAAAGTAACAGCAAGAGCTGTTCTTCCTGGGTACCAGGGAGGCCCTTAGTTTGGTCCTGGTGGGCCATGGAAGTGGTCTCCTATGGGGCAGCAGGAGTCACAGCTGCAGGTCCCTCCCACATAGGGTTGTTCACCTCACCCTGTCCTAAGTTCACACAGTGAAACAGTCTGGCTTGTTCCCTTTTAGGAATTTAGTACTGGTTCTTGCATCTAGGCTTTAACAGTGTCCGTGGCTCTTTGTGTTGAATAGGGATCAGCGCATCAGCCAGGATGTGGAGAGGTTCTGCAGGCAGCTCAGCTCCATGGCCAGCAAGCTTGTCATCTCACCTTTCACGCTGGCCTACTACACATACCAGTGCTTTCACAGGTAAGGATGCATCCTGGCTGTGCTTTCATGCCTCTATCCTATGCTCTTTTTTGAAGCCTGGCACCCATGTTACAACTCCTCAGATGGATGTTTGTACACACAGGTGAGTGGTCTCTGCACTCCAATGGGAATTCTGCCTTCGGGACATTGGGGTGTACAGTATTGGCTTCCAAACCTCTGTGAAAGCTGAGAGAGGTCACAGCTGAGGTCTTTGGTTGCTTGAGCCCAGTGACGCAGGAATGTCCCTTTGCTTGGATTATTAGCTGACTTCTCTTTCTCCTTCTCTGTAGCACAGGCTGGCTAGGCCCGGTGAGCATCTTTGGGTATTTTGTCATTGGGACGATTGCAAACAAAGTATTGATGAGCCCAATTGTGTCTAAACTTGTGCAGCAGGAAAAACTGGAGGGCGATTTCAGGTGAGTCACAGCTGAGCAGTGTTTTCTCTGTTTCTTGGCAGCTCCTGTGAAAGCTACATTTTTGTCACCATTCAGTGCTATGTATACAGCTACTTCTCTTGTCTGTGACTTTTCCCCAACTCAAAGAAACCTACCTGTGTAGTTGTGCCCCAGCATCCATGTGCTGATGGACACTGCCCTCTGTCATGGCAGGCATTGCCCTTGGTTCAGTCTCCCAGCACAGTCTTCAGGCTGTTTGCCTGGTCATTGCTGGTGCCTCTGCTAGGGGTGTGTTGAAGAAAACTGCACATGGAGCTTCAGTGAGTGTAGATGCAAGTTCAGTGAATTGCATATACTGACAGAAATCAGGTTTCTGCCTCACCACCACTTTCATTAAATTCCTGAAACATCACAGTCTTTCCATATGCTCTGTAACTCACCTACTCCCCTTCCTTTGCAGGGTTGGCTGGGTGTGTGGTAGGGGCTTTGCAGCTTTCCCCGGTGCTCAGGGTATCCAAGGACAGCAGCAGAAGCTGATGTGGCACAGGGAGCCTAGACCAGGGCAGTTGGCTGTGATGATTCTGTATGGTGTAGATACCGGACTAGAAGTAAACGGTAGGCCCAAGGGCTAAGACATTGTGCACAGAGAGCAGGATACCAAACAAATGCACCATTGAACTGGTCCAGAATGATGTCACCATGTGCTAAACCTTGGTCTCTGGTGCCTTTTGAGCCTGTTGAGTGTTTCTGTCAGGAACTGCCTCAGATCAGTGCTCTGACAAATGTAAGATGAGTTTCCTCTAGAGCAAGGGTTTTGGCTACGTAATTCACTGAGCATTTGTGTACAATTATTATGTTTTTCTTGGTTATCCAGGTTCAAGCACATGCAGATTCGTGTCCATGCAGAACCAGCTGCTTTCTACAGGTTAGTAGTGTTCATTTCCTTATATCCTCATAAGGATCATCCCAGTTCAGGGCATCTTTGTTGTATTCACGTGTCCCACAGGAGCCCAAGTCCTGTTGCTGCAGCCAGAGCTTTCTGTCCCTTCCTTTCCACTGCAGCGTCTTACAGCCCTGACATGGTGTTCTTTGCATTCTGTGCATCATCTGCAGAAATAATCCACAAAAACTGGAGACAATTATTTTTCCTCTGCCTCCCTTCTAACATCCCCAGAGGCCAGATACAGATTTGGTGTTGGCTTAGAGACAATTGCTGATGTTTTGCCAGGTCCTTACCTGGAAGATTGCTCTAAGTCTTATCGCATCTTTTTCCTCTGGGAACTTGTTACGTGTTTCTAACATCCTGCTGTTATTAACCTGCACGTCTTCTGCGGGTGTGCTCGCTGCTGCCTGGCCAGCTTACCTCTGCTTGCTCCTCTTGGTCAGTCTGTGCTCTGACCCTCCCTATGCTATACTGCTGCTTTGAATTTGCTCAGTACCATTTACCCCAGAGCTGAGCGCACAACTGGGAGCACCTCCTTGTTTAGTGGTGCCCTGAAGTCTGCTGAGCTGCTGGTTTGTTCACAGAAATCTTGAGAACCCAGGAAAAGAGCCATGATTTTGCTGTAGCCTGTTTTGGGGTGCCAGGAGGTTGTTGATTCTCTCATGTCACGAGTCTGCCCTTGCCCTGTGTGTTGCGAAATTGCACTTCTTCCAGGAATTTAAGCAAGCAGCGGCTGTCATCTCTCTGGTCTTCCCTGCCTTTGATCTATATTTGTCTCCTTCGCGCTGTAATGACTGGGCATTTCAAGTGCTGTGGTGCTTTCTCCAAAGTGGTTTGATTCAAAATCACTGCTTTCATAAAGATTTATATTGACAGGTATGAAACTGAATTAAATAACTGATATCAATCTTGGTTTGCATTGGTAAGTCTCAGTTATCTCTTTGTGGACTGGTTGATTCCTACTGGTTAATTAGGATTTTTTATAATGGAGAAGATACTCTAATTGAATACCCTTACTTAAGCTGCAGTAGTTTTCCTCACAGTTTTGAAATTTTTTATTCTATTACTAAGTAGAAAATGGAAAGTGAATTATACCAGAAAACAGAGTGTCTTACTTCAGTACAGCATGTTAGTAGGAAAGGTTGACTTCGTGGCAAACTAGAATTAAATTGAGTTGCACAAAACCAGGCATTTTCATGGTATTCATCTTAATTAAAAATAAAGGAATTTTTTAGAAGGTTACATTCTTAGAGTCCTGCAAGAGGAGGAGCATGAAGTGAGTGGCTGGTTTTGATTGCTCAACTTCTCTGTTAGACCTTGTCCTCTTGCACCTGCCTGACCATTGTTTTGGTAAAGGAAGAAACAAAAGCTGAGCACTGTCCCTTTTTTACTTTTTTTGTTTCTAAACCTTTGGCAAACTTGCTTTAAAAGTGAAGTGAGTGGAAGGAAAAGAGGAAACCAATTCAGCAGTCTCTCTTCCTCTGCAACAGAAATAATAGCTCTGGTCCTTGGTGCCTTACTTGCCTTTAACTCCTTGTGTCCAAGGTTTTCTCCTTTCCAAATACCTGGACAGCAAAGATTGCTGTCAGTAGTTCACTAGTTACCTGAACTGGGTTGTAGGACAAAAAAGCCAGACTGAATTCTAGCCAGATGCATTTTTGAGAAAGAAAATGTATTTTTCTAAGAGCTGAGAATCTTTAGAAATGAGACTTTAAAAAATCTTAATTTAGATGTTTTTGTGCAGCATCTGGCCTTATCTAGTCAGGCCCTTCTGTTGCACGGACTGTGATGGGAATGTGGGTATGTACTGGGCACAAGCCTGTGTTAGATGTCAGCGGCAATAGCTGCTGTGGCTACATCTCTGGAGCGAGATGTGGAGCTCTCTGCATTTTGCCACCTGAGGGCAGCCCAGCCCTTGTGAAACAGCAGAAGGAGCTGCCACGCTTGTTGAAGGTGGTTGTTTAGAGCTGAGATGTCTCCTTGCTACTGGCTCAGCCTGGCCATGGGAGCATCACCGCAAAATTGGGTGGAGGGTGACCCGATGGATATAGCCCTGGAAAAGGGGAGTTGTGGGGCTGGAGTCACTCACACTGGGGGCTGCACTGCTCAGGGCTTGTCTTTGACTCACTCCTGTGGAGTGGGAAATAAGAAGAGGTGAACTGGGGCTGCTGGCCATGTAGGCTGTGTGGGCTTATTATCACCTCCTGGACTCCCCCCTGTCCTCTCCTTTCTGGCTCCAGCTGTGTAGCAGTGCCATCCCAGTCTTCCACCCAGGCTCTGCTTGGGAAATGTGTTTGACCTTGGGTGTGCATTGCTCCAGATTGGGATCTTGCAGACAGTGACCCTCCTCCTGTTTGCAGTAGCAGCATCCACAGGCTCTGGGAGAGATTTGCAAGACTGCTTGTTTCAGCCAGTTTCTTGATGATGCTCTTCAGAAAGGTGCTCTTGGCTGTTCAGTTCCTGCTCAGTGAAGAGCTTGTTACTTAGAAGTGAAGGTGCCAGACTTGTTCCAAGCCTCAGTTTTAAAGCCAGTGGGTCCTGGGATCTCTGATGCAATCTTATTTTACAGGGCGGGGCGAGTGGAGCACATGCGCACAGACCGGAGGCTGCAGAGCCTGCTGCAGACCCAGAGAGAGCTGATAGGCAAGGAGCTGTGGCTATACAGTGAGTGGGGAGTTTGGGGGCTGAAGTGGGGGTTGTGTGAGTAGCTCCATTGTGGTGGCTCACATGCTTGGGAGCTCTACTGGTAGAGCGCTTGGGTGGGTGCTGTGTTTTCCTCTCCCGCCTCTTGAAGGTGCATGAAAGCCCTGAGGATGAACAGAGGTGCCTTCTGCAGCGCTAAATGGGAATCCTATTGTGTAAAAGCCTCATAAAGAGACAGAGCTGTGGAGAACCCAGGAATCTGGCTTTCTATGGGGCAGGTATTCAAAGGCCAGGAAAAGAGGGCAATGCTTAACCTTTGAGGAAGGAGAAGATGGTATATGTGGTTGGAAGCTGTGGAAACTTCTTTCCTATAGAGCCTGTCCCTTAAGCATAGTTGTCCTCTGAAAATCTCCCTTCTCCCACTGTTAGTAAGTCCAGGTTTTGGCTTTAAATGACTGCTATAAAGACAGCTCTTCCTCATCTCAGAAGCATAGTGAGCTTCTGAGCAATGTGTGGGAGGGAGAGTCCTGAACAGAGGTGTCTGTGGGAATTTGAGGTCTTAAGTCTTTCTGCCTGTTGTGTGCTCCAAGATACACTCCATGGAAAACCGTCTCAATCCAGAGCTCCTTTTTTGCTATCCTTCCTGTTTACTGAGAGTCAGCCAAACCCCTGAAGCATAGAAACAAGCAGGCAAAGTGACTTTTGCCCCATGATGGTTCCTGAGCTATATGTCTGGATGATGTTTCTCTGTTCAGGAGTCTGCTCCAAAGTGCTCTTTGCTTAGCAAATGAATTTTCACCCTAGTGCTTGTGCTGTCCTGTGAAATGGGTTCTTCTGCTCTGGTGCACCATAAGGACTGAGACAGGAACATGTGTCTTCCTCTGGCTGGGCTCATAAGAACATGTGTCTTCCTCTGGCTGGGCTCATGGGCATGTTTGAGCCTGGCTGGGACAGAGGTTCCTACTCTAACTCTTTATCTTCTCTCAATTTGTTTCTGCCCAGTTGGAATCAACACCTTTGACTATCTGGGTAGCATCCTGAGCTATGTGGTCATTGCCATTCCCATTTTTTCCGGGGTCTACGGTGACCTGACTCCAACAGAGCTCAGTGCCCTCGTCAGTAAGGTGAGCTAAGGTTTATATCCCAGACTTCATTGTGGATGGTGAGCAGACACTGAGGATGGAGGTTTCAAATGGGGCTGGTAGCCCTGGGGCTAGATAATCTTGCAGCCCTTAACGTTCAGGTTACACTGTCCCTAGCCATGGTGTCATGGAAATGGGAACTTGTAGCCAGGCCAGCTGGTATATGATTAACTTGGGAGTGAGAGCTGTCAAGGTCATATCTACATAAGTGTTTCCTTGCTCAGACCTGTGTATCTAAAAAAATAGTGAGGTCAGAAAGTCTCTGACTTTCAGCAGTGCTGGGGGATTGGGGTCTACTCAGTGCTGCAGGTCTGCCTATGGTGACCGCAGCCATCAGTGAGGCTGAGCTGGCTTGCATTTGCCTTCCTGACCTGACTCGTTATCAGATACTCAGAACTGGCTTCTGATAGAGAATGCAGAGCTAAAAATAGTTAAGTGAACACTGCACGCTGAGACATCTTGCTCTGATCCATATACGGTGCTGGTGGCATGGATCTGCTTGACTTAGGGCAAGTGTGCTGGACCCTGGGCTGGCCAGCAGTCACTCTGCAAACACCATCCCTGGGTAGCAGGTGAATATGTGTCCACCTGGAAAAAACTGCTGCACTAAGCAGGGAAACCCAGTTCCCTTCAAATGTGGTCATCTTCTCCTTCACTCCCACCGCCCTGGGTGACTTCACAACCTCTCATCGATCTTGCAAAGTCAGCTGACATGGCCAAATGTGTGGACTCCTTGGCTACCTCCTTGCAGTCATGAAGTAAGGGACAGCACCCCACCTCAGCACTGACCCTTACTCTGGCATGTGATTTCTCTCCAGAATGCCTTTGTTTCCATCTACCTCATTGGCTGCTTCAGCCAGCTCATAGATCTCTCCAGCACTGTGACTGATGTAGCTGGCTACACACACAGGTGAGCTTCCCTGTCGGCACATCTCTGGGAGAAAGGGAAGTGCAGGACAAGACTCTGCCCACGTCTCTGCTAAAAAAATAAGAAAAAATTGCTTGTGTGCAAACATGGGCACATTTGTATATTGTGAGGAGGCTGCTGGAGTTGCCCATGGCATTCATGTTTGTCTAGGATTGGTGAACTGCAGGAGACCTTGCTGAGCCTTGGCAGGAAAAAAAATGGTAACTACTCAGAAGCCAAAACCAGCTGGGATTTGGACGGGTGAGTCTCCTCTCAGCAACTGTCTGGCTTGCAGCTTACATGCCAGAGTGTGGAGCTGCCGTGGGGTGGAGCTGGCCCTTGGTATCACAATCTGTTGCACGCAGTTGATTGTAGCAGTCAGTGCTCACTAATTTGTCGTTCCTGGGGTGCGTGGGGCAAGGCTGTTGTCACAGAGACACAGGAGGTCTAAGATGCCTGATCTTTGACAATCTCAGCGTGGTCACTTACTCCCAGATCTCTCCTCCTTTGTCTTGGTGGTGGTCCAGCAGCCATTTTGGGGAGGACCCAGTGCCAAGGGACACAGCTTTCCTTCTGGACAAAGTGACACTTTCGGTGCCGTCCTCTGGCAAGCTGCTCATCAAGGACTTGAGCCTCAGGATCTCACAAGGAAACAGTGTGATGATTGTGGGAAACACTGGTACAGGGAAGACATCTCTCCTGAGGGTCCTCGGAGGACTCTGGGAGAGCACGCGGGGTAAGGACTGCTACATGCTGCAGCCTTCTCTTTCTCAACCAAGGCTACCCTGAGTTTGGAAGGTGGTCTTGTGAGGCCAATGCCACCTTGTGATGGTGAATGTGTCACTGATCCACCAATTGGAGCCACCTGTCTATCACATTCTATGGCTCTCATTGCTTTGCCCTGTGTTGCAAACACATTTTTGTGGGGATTGTTGGCTACCTTATGGGACAGGACTACACAGGGGGCAGTGGGGAGTTGCTGTCTGGTACTGCACGCTTGATGTGAGTGTGTCCCTGTGCAGGGAGCATCAAGATGCTGACCTGCTTTGGCCCCCGGGGAGTGGTGTTCCTACCACAGCGACCCTTCTTCACCGATGGAAGCCTGCGTGAGCAGGTGAGCCCAGGGACTGTCTCTACTCTGGCCTCAGCTCTGCTCCCAGCTGTGGTCATGTCCTGTGAACCTATATGGTGCAGACAGGCCTGCAAGAGGGAGGATGCCTGTGGCTGCTCTTTCCCTTGTGCCTGAGTTCATGCCACCCCCCTTGCATCTCTGAGGGATTGTGTCCAGCTCTCTCGACATGGTTTATTTTGCTCTGTTAAACAGGTGATCTATCCCCTGAAGGAGATATATCCAGTTTCAGGTATGTGGAAATTCATTAGAGCAATTAACCAACCCTGTGATGTCAGCTCACTGTCCTGTACCCAGTGTAGCTTCTCCCCTGCCATGGCCCATCAGGAACACTGATCTGTTTTGCTTTTGTTGCTCTGGTTTTCCCTACAAGATTTACCTTAGTGTATGCTGAGGTTAGCACTGTGTACCCTCCCTTCTGGGAGGGAACATACTCACTTGATAAGGACTTACTGTCTTAGTACAATAAGAACAAGCTGGCCATGCTCTACCTGCTGTGCTAGATGTGATACATGTTGCTGTTGGGATACACCTGATCTGTCTGGCACAGTCTGACTTTAGGCAAGCCACGTTTGCCTTCATCTAATTTTCCATCCACCTCCATCTTTCATTGTTTCTCTTTTTCAAATGATATTCCATGACTTTGCATTCTGTTGAGGTCAGAATATACAGATCCTTTTTTCTCCCCTGCCCTCCTCCCAAGTCAGACCACATATGGTCTGCTATAGCTTGGAGATGTCCAGCAGTTTTATCTGCTGCTTTCAAACACTTGGGAGTCACAGTCTTGCAGAGAGTAACTACAGCCATCAGCTACTGTTGAGGCTGTTCAGCAGTTTCACAGAGGTCCACGGCAGATGCACAGCCCTTCTATTCAGGTTCCATAGATGCTGACTGTAGCAGCTCAAGTGTATGTTCTGCTACACAGCTGATTCACCCTGAGGTTTTTCTCATCCCACATAGCATCCTTTTCCCAGCTGTTTCCTGAGCCCTGTTCCCCGGACTCCACCACCCGCACTGTGCAGTCTCAGCTGTAAGAGCAAAACTGGTAGGCAGGGCCTTGGCAATTGAAGACTGGATCCTTGTGTTCTGACTGTGTCCATCTCTGGCCATGGACTGACCCAAATGTCAGGTGTATCTGTGGAACCCAGCTACCTACTGGCATGCTGCTCCCAGGCATGGTTAACATTTTTAAGGAACAGTCAGTCTTCGAGTCTATCTGTGCCAAAGCTCAGGACCTGATATAATTAAGGGGTCAGGTCAACTACACTGAGTATCAGGAGATCCTTCCCTTCTGCCCCACCAAATCCTCTGGGCAGCTGTGGCGTCGGCACACATTGCCCTTGCTTATGCTGTGTGGCTTTCTCCCCAGGGTCTGCAGATGATGAAAGAATTGTGCGATTCCTGGAGCTGGCTGGGCTGGTGAGTCACCAGTAGTGCTGCTGCCTTCTTTCCTGATGCTGCCAGTGAGGGGAAAAAGGGAGGATTTTTTTGTGGCAGCACAGCATGACTGTGTGTTGGACTTCTGTGGGGACATGGTCTGTCTGTAGCTGGGGCAGGACTGTCTATGGGACAGGAAGAGGAGGGATATGGAGCAACTTCAGCTCAAGTGGGGAAAGCGAGACTAGCAGGAAAGGAGTGGTTGTGCTCAGAGCCATGGGCTGACAGGGTTGGCAACTATGTTCACAAGTCTGCTGTGCTCTCTGCAGACTGATTTGCTGGCAAGGGCTGGAGGACTGGATGAGCAGGTGGACTGGAACTGGTAAGGGAGCTCACTATCTGCATGAATTTGGCTGATTTCTTTGAGTGGGGAACACTTTTAAGCAGCATGAGGCGGGGCACAAGGGATATAGGGACAGTTGATTGTTGGTGTCTCTGTTATCAGAAGCCATATGATTTTCAGCAAACAAGTTCTATTTCTTGTGTGAGGTATTGAATTTTGACCCTGCTGCAGGTATGACATCCTGTCTCCAGGGGAGATGCAGAGACTCTCATTTGCACGGCTCTTCTACCTCCAGCCAAAATATGCAGGTGAGTGACTGACTATGAAAAAAAAGGGGGAGGGGAAGGCGGGATGTCTGGTGTAAAGAGAAGCTGGTACAGAGAAATTTACGAAATCCCTTGTTTGCTAGGAGCATGGTTCGCCTTGGCCATTATTTTAGCAGCATAGCACGCAGAGGATTCAGTTGTGAAAATATTTCATTGTTTGTGTGGAGGGTGGTAAATCAAGAAGCTGTATATAAGACATAGTCTTCTTAGGGAATTAGTGATTAATATTATTCGTCCAGGTCCAATGGCACCTGTTCAATGGCATGCTCACTAGTTGCTATGTAAAGAAGTGTTTATGCTGGGGAGTGTGGTGGCAGCTGCCATATCTGAAGCTCACAAACATCTGTAGGGTTGTGGAATCAATATGGGAAACTTAGTCATGACATGGCAAAGAAAGACAAGAACCAGTGGAGAAATGGTCCTGAGGGATCACAGAAGCATCTGTGATTAGCTGATGGGGCCAGTTCCTTACTCTCTGCTGGCTGTTGGAGGACTTGCCATGAGAGCCAGGGTGGATGTGGGTGAAGAGAGCCAGTGTCAGTAGCAGGCAGCCACAGGTAAGTAACTCTCTTTCCCTTGAAGCCTGTGGAACAGCTCAGTGCTGTCTGGGCAAAAGGAACCTGAGGATTGCAAACTAAAAGCTGTAGAGACAATGTAAAACAAATTGAACTTTTCTTCCCCAGATTTGTAGTATTTGCCCTTAACAGTCAGGAAGGTGCCACAGGCCATTCTGGGAGCTCCATGTGCGGTGTGCTGGAAGAGTGCACTGGCTGCTGCTCAGCTTAGCACTCTGGCATGTGGCTTGCCTTAAGAAGACCATGTCTTGGCTTTTTCACTGGGGGTGAGGCAGTGGCTGGCAGCTGTTGAGGGAGAGGAATGAGGGGAACAGTGCAGTTTGGATGGATTCAAGGACTTGAGGGGAAGGACAGCTTTCACAATTGACTGACAACAGCTGTGCTAGAGGAATACCAGAGACCTTAGGCTTTTCCTCCTTGCCTTCTGCAGATGCTCTTGGTGAACTCCAGTTAATAAGTGAAATGTTCTTGGCAGTTGCTGCTCTTTTGCCTAGGGGAGATGTCTGGCTGGGAGAGGATTTGTGGGGCTTACGACTTCTCTTTCAGTGCTAGATGAAGCCACCAGTGCCTTGACAGAAGAGGTGGAGCATGAACTGTATCGTCTGTGCCTTCAGCTGGGCATGACGCTGATCAGCGTGGGACACAGACCCAGCCTGGAAAAGGTGAGACAGGGAGACAGCATTCCGTGCCTCCCTAGTGGTGGCAAGACAGAGGAGGTAGAGAGGGTCTCTGGCAAGCAGAGGGGAGTGACTAACGCTGGCATATGTCACTGTGGGAGGACATGCTCTTGTAGAGACATCCCTCAACATTGTGTTACTGAATTACAGTTCCACAGCTGGATTTTGAAACTTCATGGGGAGGGGAGATGGGAGCTCACTCGATGCGAGAAGATGAAGCGTCTCCCTGCTGGGGAAGCACTCTGAAAAACATGCCCTTGCCTGGCCAGACGCAGAACCTGCACATCTGGGAGAGCTCTCAATAGTAGACATGGAGATACCAAGCCAGCAGCTGTCAACTTATGATTCAAACAGTGGAAGACCAATTCTGGATTTTGCTGATGGACACAGAGCATGTCAGAACTCACGGTGTGGGGTTCTGTCAGGAGCAGACAGCTATGCCATCCTTCTCCTGGCCTCCTTCTGCCTCCCTGACTCTCATATGGGAGTGAGCTGCTAGACTGCCCAAAGAGAAGATGCTGCCTGATGGCCAGAGGAACTTCCACTTTGTCCAGGATGCAGTGGTGCGAGGCTAGGAGGCAGCCTCCTTTTCTGCCCTCTGTGCCTTTCTGGGAGCTTTGTCTTTCATGCACAGCTCTGCAGAACAGATTTATGTACCTTGTGGCTCTGTTGAGGGTTATGTTCCTCAGAAGGAGCCAAGGGATGCACTGTAAGGGGAGGAGAATGCTAGCACAGAGAAGGGGTGTGTCTCTGCTCTCCTTATGACACATGGCTATAGGTAAAAGGAACATTTTTGCATTAAAATATGCGGCCTGTTTTAAAACTATTTTTATGGAGAAGAGTAAATATTTGTTAACTAGACTGCTGGATGTTTACTTTCTGGGGTTTGCTTTGGAGGAGATGCTTGTATGGTCCTGGGCTAGACTGGCTGAAGAGCAGAGCAGGGGTAGGAGTAATATACCTATCCAGCACTGGCAATCTTGCCCTGCTGCTCTCTCCACAGCTACTGCAAAGCACAAGGAACCCTAAGGAGGGCTTTTGGCCCTCCCTAGGGTAGGAATCACAGCTTGTCTCCCTTTACTGTTCTTCCTGTGATGAGTCGTGTTCTCTCACCTGCCTCACATGTGCGTGTGGAGGCAGGTTTTCAGGGCCTCTGTTGTGAAGAGGTCACTCCGAGACTGCAGTGGAGGTGTGGTCTCGGAGCACTTACTGGCCACCACTTGCTTAGTGGCAATTCTGGATGTTTCCCTAGTTTTACAGGGAAGGTGGAGGAGGTGGCTGCTGGCAGAGCCAAGCTAGTAGCCCTTCTGCCCCTCCACCAGGTGCTTGCGTCCCTCTATGATCTGCTGCACGGCTTCATGGTCATCCAGTGTGGTTAGGTCCCCAAGCTCACTGGCCTTGTCCTCCACAATTTTCCGTAGCACCCGACGCATAATCTTACCCGAGCGTGTCTTGGGCAGCCGGTGTGTGACCTGTGATGGGGAGGAGCAGAGATAAGGCTGAGGGAAAGGGGTTGGCTAAGCTGCCAGGGTGCTGGAGCAGCCTGCGTGTGTTACCTGAACGTAATCTGGAGCTGCGTACTTAGCAATCTTCTTGGAGATGAGCTCCTGTAGCTCAGCAGCAAGAGTCTCCTGTGTGTAGCCACTGTCCTTCTTCAGCACAACAAACACGTAGGCTCCTGGCAGAAAGACCTGAGGTTACTGAGCGCTGTGCACACCATGCTCCTGAGGGCCTGCCTGGACTTAGTGGCAGGAGAGAACCTCTTTGCTGGTAGCCTCTGGGGATGCCCTGTAGCCAAAGCTGTGAGTGCTTTTGACCACAGTGCTGCTGCTGTCGCCTTATGCAAAGCCTAGCTGGCCTTGTGAAGGTTGTGATGGCTATGCTGAGATCCCTGCTTAACATGCTGTGTGGTGTGGACACAGCGTTGCTATCAGTGTCACTTCCCACTAAAGTCCCATAGCCCCAGGCAAGATGTTTCAGGGGTAGGAAATCAAGCATCTTACCTTCTCCCTTGATCTCATGTGGGTAGCCGATGACGGCAGACTCTGCCACTGCCACATGATGATTCTGGAAGAGAACAGGACTGGGGTTTGGCTCAGTGCTCTCAGCAGGCTGGCTGCCACCAGGGAGCTGCCCTGACCTGACTTGGCTGCTGTAGCCCACCATAATCTAGAGAGATCAGGAAGGGCCTCAGGTGGCCTCTACCCTTTTTCCTTCTTGCCTCAGTAGGACTGCAAACACAAGTCTTTTCACCCTGCCCCTGATTGCTTTAGGCTTGAACCTTGTAGACCCTGTTCTGTGCCTATAGGTTGCTCCATCAGATCCCACAATCCTTACTGCCCCAAAGATGCTTCTCCTTAACATGTCTGGCTGCTGCTTTGGGATTCATCCACTTAGAGCATGAGCCTTACCAGGCTTTGTCTCTCCCTTACTGCAGAGAGCCAGAATGAGAGAGGAAAGGGTGGGGAGCTGTTCCCACAGGCAGGCTGTGGGTCCAACACTGTTCCCTGCTGCTACAGCAGCAGCATATTTCTGTCCAGGGATTTTAGAAACACCTCCCTGAGCACTACCAGTGTGCCTTTGCTGTTTCCTTGGATGGCTTTACCTCCCACCCACACCTCTTACCACAACGTCCTCCACCTCTGCAGTGCCCAGCCGGTGTCCACTGATGTTAATGATGTCGTCCAGCCGTCCTGTTAGCTGGTAGTAGCCCTTTCTGGTACGATGTGCACCGTCCCCAGTGAAGAAAAAACCTGCCAGAACCATGCCATGGTCACTTGTTGCAGTGAGCACATGTGAGCTGTTCAACAGCTGCACTCTCACCTTGCCCCGTTTTCCTCTCTGTTGGCACGAGGGCTCATGTACTCTGCGCCTTCCTCAACTGCTCAGGGTGAAGGTGCCTACCTTCCTTGTTAATCTTCTGCCTCTTTTGGTGCCTGATCTATCATCAGGCTCCTTCCCTCATTCTGCAGTGCGCTGGTTAATGCCCAGCCTGCCTCATCACCTCTTGCTAGGAACACTTTGCTCCAGTGCAGGTGCCTGTGGTCTTGCTGCTTCCCCTCTTAGCTTCATATCAAGACACACACACTCTGGGGCTTGCTCAGTGCCTCGGGGTGAGTGATAGAAGCTGACAGGATTTGCAAGAGATGTACCAAGAGGTCTGTGCTCAAGGGGATTGGGGGCAGAAAGACAAATCCACTACCTTAAAATGATGTGTGATCCAATGGGGAAGGTTGGTGAGAAAGACCCATTCCCAGGGCAGTGCTGTGGTATCAGGCCTGGGGAGATGAAGGGCCTCAACACTGAGGAGGGTCTATGGAAGAACAAAGCAGCCATACCAGCTCTCCTGAGTCCCACCTTCGTTCAGAAAGCCAGCAGGCAGACACAATCATACTCAACTGAACATATCTTCAGTGTCCTGCCACCTATTTTCCTTACCTGGATAAGGAGTCAGATAGGTTTCCAGAAATCTCTTGTGGTCATTGTAAATGGTTCGTGCCATACCTGGCCAGGCTTGTGAGATGCAAAGGGCTCCAGAGATGTTGTTTTCTAGAAGGATATTTCCCTGTAAAATGGTTACTTTTTAGTAACTATGGCTGAGGGTACTTGGGATGTTTAGTTATTGCCTGTTTTAACAACTCTGTGATGGAAATGTCAGGGAAGGCAGTGAAGAGGGTCCTTTGCTCCCCACTTGAACACGACAGGCTTAGTCTCTGCCAGCACTAAACTGCCTACCATGGTGGGATGCAGGACACCTCCAGGGAACTGGATGTTCTTGCCCAGGTACCTCACCTTGGAAAAATGTGCCAGGGAGCCCAAGCACAGCCTGTCTTGTCAGTGCAAACTAGAAAACAGTTTAATTTCTGCACTAGTTGGAAGGACAGCTTCACTGTTTGTCCCTTTCCAGTAAAGAAGGTTGCTGTCCAGCAGAGGTGAGCAGGAAAGACATGCTTACAGCTCTCCACTCCCATCAGCAAGTACATTCTGCAAATGTCTGGGGGAAAGTGGGCTGAGCCAGTGTCTGGACTGCAGGTTATAAATGTACCTTGTCATCTAAGAGGGCAGGGCTGATCCCAAAAAAGGGTCTCATAGCCATGCCTGGAAGGATTTCTGCTCCAGCATTAGAAGGACGGGGTGAGATACAGATGCCTCCTGTTTCTGAAAAAAAAGAAACCGTAATGCTCATCAAAGTTGGGAACAAGAGGAAAGCCAAGTAGCACTGCTTGGCTAGCAGCCTTTGCCCTGGCCCTGCTGCACATGGCACAGGCTGTGGCTGGGTTTGCCAGAGAGCTGAGAAAGGCTCTTTGCAGATGGATGATTGTGCTCATTTAGTTCAGCAGGGACCTGCCGAGATAGGCCATCAACCCCCCTGGTGTTTGTCTAGGTTAGCTTTAAAGGCCATTTCTTTCTGTCATGTTTAGGTGCTCCTGGGCCCTTACAGCCTCGCTCATACCAGTCAGTAACACCCGTTATCACTTGGCCAGCAAAGCAGCAGGTCAGTCCTAAAGCCTGGGAGAGCAGAAACTGGAACAAGGAGTCATATGCATCTCACCGGTTTGCCACCATGTGTCCACTACTGGGCATCGTGTCTCGCCAACCACACGGAAGTACCATTCCCATGCCTCCTTGTTGATGGGTTCTCCCACTGCACGGGGAAAGACAAGGGAGCAGAGCACAAAAATCAGGTTAATGTCACAGCTTTCCATGACCTGCTTGTGGACCCATCCCCAAATAGTGTAGTGTCCTGACTTTGGGGTCTCGTGTTGCTGCTGTTCTTGGCATTTGTGGGAAGAGGCAGAACCTGATGCCCAAGGATTTGCTGCTCCAGCCCATGCTGCTGCAGTTACCTGAGCCAAGCACTTTGAGGGAAGAGCGGTCATACTTCTTCACCCATTCGTCACCGTATCTCAGGAGCAGGCGGATGGCAGTGGGCGCCCCATAGAACTGGTTAATTCTTAACCTCTCTACTGTTTCCCAGTAGCGGCCTGGAATGGAAACAGGGCCAGTGAGCATCTACGCAGGTCCTCCCAGCCCAACACCAAGATAGAGATAGAGATAGAAAAGGTGAGAGTAAAGGCTCTCTAGCAGTGCCAGGACCCTCAGCCAAGTTAATCCCATGATGGGAAGGACTGAAGCTGTTCAGGAGCAGCAGCAGACCCTTTTCCTTCACATCACACAGCTCTGCTACTCTCTGTGCTGCAGGGAGGGGCAGGGTGTAATAGCTCCACTTGTGGAGAAGCAGCAGTGGCTTCCTAAGCAGAGGAAAATACTGGGCACAGCCTGCAGTCTGCTCCTGAGGCAACAAAGCCATTGCTGCATGTGTCCTGGCATCAGACTGCCTGCAGGTGTTGCAGGGTGCTGTGGAATATCCCAGCTCCTCTGAGACACCTCACTCACCAGGGTTAGGATGGACAGGAGTGCTCTCAAAAAGGACAGTGGTGCCACCATTGCAGAGGGGGCCATAGACCACATAGGTGTGCCCCGTGATCCAGCCAATGTCTGCCACACAGCCAAAGACGTCCCTGTCCTGGTAGTCGAACACATACTGAACAAGAGAAGAGAGGCAGTGAGGGGTAATGCCAGGGCCTGCCTTCCTGGCAAGGGGGACAACAGGGAGCAGTGTACCCTCTCTCAGCCCTAACATTACTGCATCCTTCTGTCTTCCAACCACCCCTGCAGGGATACTGTCTTCCTTCAGAGTTTTTGAAAACATCAGAAAAAAAAAATAAAATTAGGGTGCTTTATGAAGTTGCAGGAGACACACACGTAATTAAAAAACAAACAAACAAACAAACAAACAAACAAAAAAACAGCCAAATTTGCACTTCCTTTCCTTCCTTTTGCTGATATCTAGATGAGACTGATGCAAGTATCCTGCAGCATCAAAACAGAACCTTCTGGCTAAGGATTGTCCCTCTGTACTTACATGCTTACACGGAAGGAGAGGAGTTGTAGGCAAGGGCAAAGTGGTAGAGGACTCCATGAACCTCTCCTAGGTGCTTCTGGGCTCCTGGACAGTAAACACTCAGGAAACTCTGAGCTCATCAAGGAGCCCAGCATAGGAGCACTGAGGCAGCAAGCAGAGGGAACATGTGATACTTTAGCCCAGAGCAACCCTACCTTGCCCACAAGAATTGGAACCTCTCCACCTCAGCTGGATGAGTGCTGTCCTGTGCCTGCAGGCAGGTGGAAAGCAGAACAAGCTCTTCTTCCCACTGCCCCATTTATTCCTCGGGAAACCCTTGGCTGCAAGGCTGAAATATGAAGGAAGGATGCCTGCCCTGTGCAGGGCAGAACTGAGTGCTGTCAGATTGGCAGCAACGCATCCAGTTTCCTCAAGCACTCTCCTTCATTTAGTATAGGACAGTGACAGAAAGAAGAAAGCCAAGAAGGTAGCTCAGAGGAATATGTGTTTGGGAGACCCTGTCACAGAGCACCACTTGTAGGCGGATGTGCTCTACTGGGCTGATGGCCCAAGAGGGCTTCCCTGAGACTTTGCACTGGCTCAAGATGGGTTCATAATGCAACAAGGAGCATGTCTATTCCCTGCACTACCTATGAACTTCTGGCTCATGAGCACTGTGTGGCTGGGATCCATTACCTTGTGTGTGAGAGCCGCAAACAGCAAGTAACCAGCTTGGGAATGAACCAAGCCCTTGGGTTTGCCAGTACTGCCTGATGTGTAGAGAAGAAACAACATGTCTTCACTATCCATGACAGCAGGTTCACAGCATGCATCCTCTTTCATCATCTCCTGCAGGAAAGAGCACAGCAGTTCTCTCAGGGTCTCACAGCCTCCCCTGTGTTGCTTGTGCACCTATGTTGCTTCTGCACCTATGTTGCTTGTGTACCTCCCCTGTGTTGCTCCCCACACGTTCTTGTACACCTCTCACCTAAGTCTCCTTCCCCTCTGAGCACCTGTGCCACCCTGCTCCCCCCAAACATCACTCCTTGTCTCTGCACCTCCCCTCCCCTTGCTCAGCAGCCTGAACTCCCGTTCGCCTTGCGGAGCCGGCAAGTGCTTTCCTCAATCAGAGCAGACGTGCTGAGTAAGAGGCAGCTGATTTTACACTGTTGCTGCTCTGACAGCACAGCTTCTTCCAGGAAGCCTTTCCAGCACTAATTGCTTGCAGATGCGATGAGCAGAGGCAGAGACACTACTGCGTAGCTCCAGGGAGCCAGCAGAAATGCACAGCAGGGGCTCACCTGTTCAGAAACAATGCTTCATGCTGGATAATGGACACAAGAGCAACCTCACTGCCTGCTTCCTTGGACACAACAAGCTGCCAGCAGCACTCACAGAGAATGCCGGATCTGTCAGCAGAGCGGTATGTGCAGAGCAGTGCAGTGGCAGTCCAACGCTGAGTTCACAAAGTAGCAGCCCATGTGTGGTATGTTTCTAGCCCTCAGTCCACCCTGCTATGAGCCCTGACTTGCACTGCCTGCTCCTGATAGCACAGGGCTGGTAGCGTGGGAAGAGATACCAGTTGCCCATCCTGATGGCTTCTGGGACTGTCCTGAACTCATATGCAGTTCTGGTTGCCACTGCTGCTGTGGGACAATATTCCCAAATTGTGTTAATGCCAGTGAAACTGTCATGGCCAGCCAAGACCCTCTGTCCACCCACTGTCCCTACTCCCGGAACACTTTGCCTGGGGGAAGTGGCAGTAGCACCAGGCAGGCCTCACCTCCTCCAATGGCACATCTAGGGCTGTCATGGGAACCTTGCTGGTGGTCCTCATGGAAACCAGAACCCGTTTCACGCCAGGGCACTGCTTCACAGCCTGATCCACTGTCTTCTTTAGCTCAATAACCTTGCCGCCTCTCAGACCCTGGTTCACTGTAATCACCGTCTCTGACTGCGCTGCAGAAGACAGAAGAGTCATATAAGCAGCTCTGCTCTTCTCTATCAGTCACACAGCAGTTTGGCTCTACCATGACACTGCACCTCTCTCTCTGTGTCTCAGCCCCTGTTACTCATGTCCTTCATTTAGCAAAAACAGCAGATTGACATCTTGATTTTCCACTAATTCCTGCCTGCATCTCCTCACAGGACATGTTGTATCCTAGCCCTTCAGTCCCATGGATGAAAGAGAAAACCAGTTCATCCCATGGGCTGGAAGGTATGTAGTGAGCTCATGCCATTTCCTGGGTTGCTCCATGGCTATACGTGGTATCAGGATACCCCTAGATAGCCCAGGGAGTTTTACTCCGAAAACCTTTGCCATCCACACAATCCTGAGCCCCCCAGCTGCTGAATTGATGAGCTCAGCGCTGTCCCCCAAGGGAAACACATTACTTTTACCCACTGGCTCTTACCATCCCGGATCCTGTCTGCGAGGGACTCTGCACTGAACCCAGCGAACACCACAGCATGCACAGCCCCTATGCGGGCACAGGCCAGCATGCTAGCCACTGCCAGTGGGCACGGGGGCATGTAGATTGTCACCCTGTCGCCCCGTTTCACCCCTTGCCGTTTCAAGGTGTTTCCCAGGCGGCACGTCAGCTCTAGCAGTTCCCTGCCCAAAGAAGCAATGACATAGTTAGAGACTTTCTTGCAAATTTAACCAGTTTGCTTAAAGATGGGGGACCTCAGACTTATACACAGCTTATATCCCTACACTCATCACTCTGGAAGTCCATGGGAGAGCTGTAAAATTCAGTGGGAAGGAAAGGAGAAGACAGACTCTAGCATGGGTTTTTATTTGTGGAAAATAAATAAAGCAGAATGATTTCTGTACAGCAATGGCCACTGGCAATTCCTCTGGCTCAGCAAGCACACAATCAGCAAACAGCTGACTTCCACCATGACAGCCTGCTCATTTCTTACCAACCTGTACAACTGGCTTGACACACTACCCTGCATAGCTGGAGGCTACATGTGAGATGTTAGATATCTTCCCCCATGAAAACAGGGTCCTGTGCTTTGCTAAAGCTGAAAAGGTCAAGTCCTCCAGAGCTTGTGCCCACTAGCAAGAACAACAGCTGTAGGAAAGCACTGAGCAAAAGATGCCTCTCTGGAGAAGCATCCCTCCCAAAAACCACAGCTTGGATGTCAGTGACTCATTTTATGGAAGGGCTCTCCCTGCAGGGAGATTGGCAGGGGTGGATGGTCATATTTGTCGTGTGAGGTCTGGAGCCAGAAAGGACAGAGGGACTGGTTTTGTGTGCAGGGGGATTTAAGCAAATTCTGCAGCAGAAACTCAGAGAGCAGGCAAATTAATCTGGAAGGCGGAGACACCAGACCAACCCAGCAGGACTGGACGGGCAGTCCTCCAGAGAGCCAAATCTAGCAGCACTGCTGACGTGCAGATGAGAATGGGATTTCTCAACACACATGCAGCTGTGAATCTGGTCTCTCTTGCAGACCTGCAAGTTTAGACCACAGCAACCTGGCTGGCAGGACACACGTGTGTCTTTCCAGTGTGTTTTAGCTACAGGCATTGCAATGCTGCCCCAAGGATCTTACATCTGCCTCCCCAGCTCAGTAGGGACTCCTCAGGGCCCAGAGGATTTAATCAGGAGGTAGGCTCAATTTTCAGATCAGCATAAGCAAGCCAACATTCTGTTGATCTATCTATGTGAAGGGATGCTGCATTCCCTCACATGACAGACTTCAGCAGATCAGCCCTATAGATATTCATGCATGCTGCAATATGGCTTGTATGCTGAGAGGTAGTTACTGACCTGTATGTCACCCGTACTTCCTCTCCTGGTTCATCCTTCTCCCAGATTAAGGCCACTTTGTCTGGGGCTACATGGACATGACGGTCCAGGCAATTCACTGGAATAGAAAACCCAGTCTCATCAACAGAGAAACCCTCAGTACATCTTACCTCTCACCTCTCACAAAGCCAGCACCAGCAGTCACATTTTCAGGTCAGTCAGGGCTGCGTGTGGGTCTTCTCAGCAACTTTGTGCAACCTTTGTGGATATGAGCCAGCAGATCACAAGCACCATCCCAACCTCATTACACTCCTCACCACTTCAGTACCTACCAACCCCCACTATCAGTTTCTCCCTTAACTGCAACCTTACGTAATCCACAGCAGAAACTGCCTAAAGCTCCTTTGGAGGTCACATCCACAATGTCCTCAGCCATCGCTCCACCCAGCACTGCCTTGCAGCTACCTCTGTGGTAGTGGCAGTGCTTTAGTGGCAGTGCTCCTAAATAACAAATGTAGGACAAAACGAATCTCTGCACAGGAAAGCTACAAGGTGCACCTGTCCAAGATGGAAGAGAGCCAGGGCAAAGGCAGAGCTCACAGCCCCTGGCTTTCCAGGGACATCATAAGCTGAGGCTCTGGCTGTAGTTCTTCCAAGAAAAGTTTTCTACACTGCTGGCAGTTGCAGTTTTCTCAGAAGCCTTGTTCACTCTGTGTTTTCCTTAAACCTGCTACTGGAGTCATGGGATGATGCAGCAGCCCCAGTTTGCATACCAAAATGCTTTTTTCTCCTGACCATTTGTAGTTTTCCAGGAGAGAAAGAAACATACATGAAAGGGGGAACAATAAGATCTCAAATCCTAAAGGATGACTCCTGCTCTCCTTTCAAAATGGACTCCAAGACCTAATTTTCTGAGAGGTTTGTCTCTTATTTTGAACACTGGGACCAACAGCACTGCGAGCAGGACATAGTGTCACCAGCCCCTGGTAGCTCCCCTAAGGCAGTAGCCCCAACCCACAGAAGGGCCTCCCATGACAGTGGAGACTTCCAGTATGGCTCATTGCTCCTGTATTTTGCTTTCTGCAGATACATCCTGCCTTTGCTGGGCAGGGATGGCCTGGTGCAACCCTGCCTGCTGAATGCACAGGGATTGGTGCTGTTGCCTGTTGCCAGAATGGAGCCACTGCCCTCATGTGGGATCCACAGAGGCTGAGGAAGAGCAGCCTGGCTCCCAGCCCACTCCAATCCACCTGCAGCCCCTCCAGAGAGACACAGCTGCTACCTTAGGACAAGCCACAACCTTACACTACAGCCACTGTAGGGCCAACCAGACCTTTTGGGAATCCCCCTCTCTCCAACCCTTTAACTGTATGCTCATTTGATATGCTCCCAGGACTGAAGCCCCACACATAGAATTACCTGCAGGCACTTGGTGGGATCCCATGTCTGCCTTCCTTCTTACCTGTTACGTTCAGCTGCCCACCCAGGAACCAGGACACCCTGCCCTGGTGCAGATCACAGTCCTGGACGGAGTGGAAGGGGGTGATCCAGGTGAGCCGGCTCCTTCCTAGTGCTCCCCAGAAGGCATCCCCTTGATCCACTGAAACCTTGTACAAGTCTTGGTGGTCCTTGGGTCTGGAGAAGGTGATGGCTTCAGGCATGTAAGCGGTGAGGGGCCCATGGCTCCAAGCTCGGGCAGCCACCAACCTAAGTGGGCATCTGGGAACCTGAGAAAGAGCTTTGGAGCAGCAAGTCCTGGCCAGCAGCCTGGCCATCACCGCAGGGTACCTGCCTCTCACCAAGGAGATGGGTGCCTGAAGCCCTTCCAGCTGCTCAGGACACCTGGCCAGGCAAAACCCAGGCCCCTGTGCAATCTGTTGTCCTGGGCTAACTGGACACAAAGAAGCCCTCCAGCACAGGGAGCCTTTCTCCCCGCCTTGTTCCTCTCCTCCTCTCTTCCAGAGCACTATGGGAAAAAAGAAATTCAATCTCTTTGAGGGAGGGGAAAGGGGTGGGCTGTAGAAATATTTGACTGAAAATAACCTCCATGCTAATTTGAGTCCTGACAGCCGCTCTTGAACAAGAGCCAGGTTCAGCTTGTGCCTGGGCTCCCCTCAGGGGCCAAGGTGCCTGGGCCAGGCTCTAACAGCCTGCTGCTGCTCCTGCTCTCCCAAGGCTGCTCTGCGTGCCCAGACTCCTCTGCTTCATCCCCGCTCACCACCTTCACTTCTCCCTCTCCTCATCCCTATCCCCTGACTCCCCACACCTCCCCCACTGCAGCCCCCCAGTCCTCTGCTGGCCACAAAGGCAGCTTGGGGCAGGTCATCTGTAAAAGTTAGGTCTCTCTTCATGCTAGTTGTGAGTGACAGGACCTTCCCAGAATTAAGAACCATTTACTGCAGAGAACTAGGCTGTGTTATCTGGGATGGGCTGTCAGCTGCAAGGTGGGGATATTGTACCCCATCCCTTCCCACTGGGCCGATATAAGAGCTGTCCTCTCTGTCAAGCTGGGCTGGGCTTTCTGCCTCCTCCCAAACACTACAGGCCAGCTCTACCACCAGGTGTACTGGGAGCACCCAATGAGGCCACGGTGGAGCAGCGGGTAGTGGTTTGGCATGAAACACTGCAGCCCATCTCCTCACGCTGAAACCTCCCACCACCCACTGTAGCATAGCAATGCTTCTTCCCTGCCTCCAAACAGCTTTTTTTCTGCTTTCCTTTCCTTCAGACCTTACACAGGTAGGGTTTTTTTAAGGCAGAGTTTGGAGGCTTCCTTAATTTCATTGACCAGATTCACCTCCCTTCCTAGGGGTCACAAGAGAGGGGCAGAAAAAGGCTCTCCCTGCAAGCAGAACTATTCTGAGTCAGGTACACTGATGGGATGATCAACAGCAGACATGAGAGGTTAGTAGATCTCCTCTTTGCTCTTCATAGTGCAACACCACTCATGATCTGTGGAGCTGATATGTTTGGTGAACAGGTTGGACACCAGTATGGGGGACAGGAACTATCTGCCATCAGGTACACTCATCCCACTCTATACACTTGGTTTGTATCAGAGCTGCCCCAAGGTCGGTGGGTACCTACAAGGGTTCTGTCCCCTTGGCGAAAGGCAGTCCTGTGGGCTTACAGTCCCTCCACAAAGTCAAGCCCAACCAGCCTCATCATTCCACAAGTCTCTTGTTTACTATCTATGCCTGCTCTGCTTCCGCAGTTTTCCCCTCCCTGTAAGACATCAGGTTTTTCCATCTGACCATCCCCAGATGCCCTTAGCAAGGCAGGCAAGTATCAACTCCTGATCTGATAACTCAGAATAGGCGCCCACTGCTCTCAAATCAGAGCTCACCTTGCTGGAAATCCTGTCAGCGCCCTTCCCTCCCAACCAGCTCCCCTGCACTTGCAGCATCTGGCTGCTGCCTTGGCTCCTCAGACCACCTGGGCCCTGCAGCCTGCTCCTGGCACAGGGGCATAGCCTGGCCAAAGGTCTGTCTAGCACCAGGGCACATGTGATATCGGGTGACCCAAAGCACCAGGGCTGTCCTGGATGCTGAAGTGACTTGTTCTCTGGCCAGCTGTACGCTGTAACTTCTGCTCTGAGTACAAGCACACCCCTTTCAACTTTGTCTTTCACTGCAAAGGGAGAGCAGCACCCAAGCCCTGTATTCTGCATGCCTGGGAGGGGAGGAAGGCGCAGACCTTTTTCTGTGCTGCTTTGGATCTCCCATCCCTCTCTGGCTACAGCCTGACATCCAACCCCCTCTCAGCTTTGGCTGAACTCACCCTCCTTGAACATTGGTGACCAGACTCATACACAGTATTCCTGTTTAGTTTTATTCTTGCTCATATCTTTACAGAAAATGGCACATAAATCACAGATGCTGGATGACTAGAAGTTATTACAGCTCCATATCTCAAACACCTCAATACTGAATTCTTTTCTCACTGTATATACATTATTTACACCCCATGGGCTATCATCTAACACGTCAAACGACCAGGGGACAAAGACGAACAGGGGTTGGATGAGCAGGCTGAACATTTGACAGAAGAAGAACTGTTGGGAAAGGGTGCTCACAGCTGAAAGCAGGACAGAAAGGGGCACCTGGAAGTCACTGTCCTACAGCTTTTGGAGGGAGAATAGTGCCTTACTGGGATAGAAGGGTGATGGTACCTTGGAGTGGTTTTGACTGCGTGAGTTTGAATGTGCTTATATGGCATGTATGTACACGTTACAGGGTGTATCAGAGTGATGTGCATGGCTGTCATTCCCTTTAACACTCAGAGTGTGAGCTGGACAAATTTAAATCAATAAATACATTAGGTGGATGTTGTTGTCTCACCTGCAATAATGTATTCAGTAAATAATTTGACTATCTGGCCTCTCTGCAAGAGTGCAGGGCTTTGGCATTTGGGGCAGAATCAGTCCCAAATTGTCCAGCACTGCAGGAGTCAGCAACATGGGCTGGGGTCACCTCAAGTTGCCAGGTGAGACCAGGGTGTTGTGCCTGTGGGCTAAACCTGCCTCTCCTTGCCAAATAGGGGTAAAACATAACCGCCCTAAAGTTGCAGCCCCTTCCCCGCAGACTCCAGTGCTGGGCAGGGAGAGATGGGCAGAAGGTGCAAACTACCCTGCATGGATAGTCATCATTTCATGCAAACACTGCCATGGGCTTGTCCTGCTGTGGCCTGGGCCAGAGGCAGATGTGACGGCAAGGAGAAGATGATGGGTCTACCTTGGGCATGGTGGAATAGGGCACAACGGGAAGGGACCTAGGCAGCAGTGGGGAGAGAAGTGCACCAAGGAGGGGCATGGCAGGAGGGGACAGGCTTGCTTCAGGACGGCAGATGGGTTTTGGGGCTGCAGCAGCAGGAAAAAGCCCCAGAGGCAGTCAAGAGGCTGAAGGGACCAGAGCCTTGGTGTCCTCCTGGGTGGCAATGATGATGTGTGTCCCCCAAAAGGAAGGGGTGGAGGGTAAGGAGGGCCTGGTGGGGCAGAGGAGTGAGGGGCAGGGGTATGCTCAAGGGGAGCAGGCAATGGGCACCCCTGCCAGGCAGCCCCAAACACAGAGACCAGAGCCCGCTTCCCTGGCAGGGGTGACCAGGGAGGCCTGACAGTCTGAGTAGGAACATGGTCCCCACAGGACACAGTGTCTGTCGGGGCTGGCTTCCACCGCCTCTCTTCGCCCTAGATCAGCTTCTCCTCCTTCTGCGATGAGTTCAGCTTCTCCGTCTGTCTCTCATCCTCTGCTACTGCCACCTCCTCCCCTGTCTCCGGCTTCCTGCCTGGGGCCGGGGTGTCCCCAGCAATGGTCCCCAGGACTTTGGTGCTGTGCTCCTGAGCTTTGGCCCTGAGGGCGGCAATGCTGTTTTCTCTCAGTTCCTCCTGGGAAATGGTGGTTTTGGGATCCGGACCCCTCTCTTCCTTGTCACCTTTGTCAAGCTTGGGCAGGGCCTGGCGCTCCACCTCTGTCTTCCTCCCCGCCTCAGCCGCTGCCTCCAGAGACTTTTTGTGCATCCCTAAAAAGAATTGTTGGTATTCGGGTTTAGAAAAGCGCCTGGGCATGGGAAAGCCATCTTGAACTGAAAACAGCAAAGATAAAGAGAGGCCAGAATTAAGGAAAAGCAGAAACCCTTGCTTCATACAGCAGTCACGGGGAGCCACTTGCTCCAGCCCCCGTGCGAGGGCAGCCCAGGCAAGGCAGCTGCCTGCTGGGGTAGCCTGCCATCTGTGGACTCGGGGCTGCCCCCAAAGGTCTATAATTACTCTCCTCTTTATTTCTGTTAGTGAACTTAAAGCTAACCTGTCCCTGCATGGGAATGAGGGTCTCAGCAGCACAGTTGCCTGAGATTCACTGAGGCTGGGGAGGGAGATCCCTATTGCCTATTTCTGTATCAACCCACTCCACACAACCATCCCTCTGCCTCTCTCAGTTTCGCAAAGACAGAAGGACAGGACAGCCCGTCCTCAAGATGCCAGACAGTAGTTTGGGGGCAGAACCAGCCTGGGAGGTCAGAAAGAGGGAAGCAAAGAGCAGGAGTGTGGTAGGGTAGCTGATACCTCCAGGTCTGCACGGAAAACCAAGTGAAACCAGACAGAAATGGAGCTCCCCCAGGTCAAGAGCAGGAGGAGGCAGCAGAGTGTTCCCTCTGGGACCTGGAGCAAGAACAGTGTATTTGGGGGTCCTGACAACCCACATAGAATCACAGGGCTGGAGGAGTGAGACTGGGATGACCTCCTGCCCTGGATAAGGGTTAGAGCCTTTGCTCCAGGGCTGAGCATGAAGGATGGTTTAGCCATGGGAATTGAAGGCTAACATTAGCCTGAGTATGGGGGCAAATTCCTGTCCCAACCAGATTCTGCAGGTCAGGGTCCCAGGTCCTGCAGGAATTTGGGATGAGCAGTCAAATCCTATTGACGAGGGTCACTGGGGGACAGGGGGCATTCAATGAGGCAGGACAGGGAGAGCCTCACCTTGCTGCCTTTCACCCATTTTCAACATGACTTTGATTTCTTCCTTGCTTCCCCCTCTTTGTCTCTACCCACTCATCATCACCCATGAAGGCAGCTGCTCTCTTACCCAGGAGCCAAGGGGCGCAGGACTCCATGATGCCATCCTTGGCAGACTTGAGAATGGACTCAGGCAGTGGGATGGAGTGACGCACCATGGCACCGTAGAGCCCGTACTCAGCCATCACACTGCTCCTGCCCCAGCATTTCTCCCTCTTCCGCCATTTGGCCCGGCGGTTCTGGAACCAAACCTAGAGCAAGCAACAAGGAGGGACATGGGGTTTCTTTCAGGGAGAAGGGATGTCAGTCCCTTTCCCACACGGGAACACACATGTTTGTGCAGCAGGATGAAGGCAGATGTGTGGATGCTCATCCTGAAGGCACTGCAACCTCTTTTCCTATGCAGTAGACACCAGGTATCTCTCCCTCCCTCCCTTGCAGGAGCGGCAAGGGCCAAATGTGAAAGCAAGTCCCACCCCTCTCCACAGGATGTAATTAATTTGCCATTGCAGCATCTTTTTCTAGTGGCTTTTGGCTCTTGTGCCTAGGATTTTCTTTTATTATTTACTGGGTGTCTGAGCAGCAGCACAGGGCTGCAGGCAGCGGTGCCTGCAGGGAGGGCTTGGATGGGGGTGGATGATGAGGAGAAGCAGGAGAAGGGGGAAGCTGATCTGTGCGCTTTGCCCTGAATTCCCAGTTTGAAAAGCCCCTCATCTTCTCAGAAAATTGGCAGAATAATCTCTGAGCTGTGACCTGGGGGCCAGCGAGCAGAGAGGCGGGCGGCAATGGCGGGGAGGGGGTGATCCTCGCAGAAATCTATTAGTGCTCTCTCTCTGATTTCCATTCCTCTTGTCTCCCTCGCCCTCCTCCCTCCCCAGCTCCCCTCCCTTCCCGCCGAGCAGAGGCATCAGCTTTAGATGAAAAATTGCTCGAGGTCTATTCAGAAGGAGGCAAAGGAAGAGTCAGCCCCAGGGGCAGCCCAGGCCTGATTGAAAAATAAGTTAATTTCAGTTTGAATCGATGGGCCTCAGGCACTGAAATATCACGGGAAATTAAAGCAGCTGGTCCCCAGGGAACCACGCCATTGACCTGCGCTAATTAATGCCATGGAGTTACCAGGCCCCTCTCCGAGAGGCAGCCCCTCCCTCCCCGCGGACACCCCAAACACCTCCTCATTTAACTAATTAGACTCACAGAAAATTGGGTGTTAATTTGTTTAGGATTTTTTTCTTTTCTATTTTTTTCCCTCCCTTTCCCAGAAAGTACATGGCAGAATGGAAATGAATGGCAGGGTCTCGCTGGCAGATGGATGCTCGGGGTCACTCCGCAATCTTCTCCGACTTGATTGCTTGATTAGGTCGTTAGCACATTAAAAAAAAAAATTGCTTGCCGTCTGGCGCTGGCCTGATGAGTGGGATGAGGCGGGAATCGCCTGGGTAATTTATCTTTTTATACTGCAAAGAATTTGATTTCAATCTGCAGATATATGGAGGTGCCTTTGACACCTCTTTAACATTACAGAGCTGACAGCTTAACCCTCTCTTGTCCCCACTGTTTGTTTCCTTGAGGGAGCCCAAGCTGCAGAGGGGGGCACTGGCTGTTTGTCCCAGTCCCCCAGCTCTGCCGTGGGGACAGTAAGACTGATGCCAAGGAATGATGTCCTGCTCTCCGCTGGTAAGCTCACCTACCTCTTCTACCTGTACAGAGGACTGCTGAGCACTGCAGCCCTATGGTGGGTGCAGAGCTGCAGGGTAGGGAAAGTGGTTTGCTAACACTGGTGACAGCCGGCCTTGGCCATTCCTGGGAGCCCAGCCGACCTGCTCCTGCAGAGAGCTGGGTGGGGTGGTGGTCCCAGCGGCTGTGATCCCAGCTTCTCCCAGCAGAAGACACTCTGCATGTCAGAGGGGATTTTACAGCCAGGCTGCTTCACCACACATCACCTCCTCTGCATGATAAACAGTCTGATTTACACTTTCATACTGCCGATAGGTAACCTCTGGACCATGGATGGCTGCAAATCCTCCAGTGCCTGAGCAAAGACCCTTGGGAATGAACAGCCTCCTCTCTTCGCCTGCTCCTCCCTGCCTGTGTGAAACACGGATTTGCTTGGCCCTGCAGTCAGCAGGTTATTGGCAGGGTCTTTTGCTCCGGGCATTCCTCCCACTTCCAGAGCCCAGAGTGAAGAGCTGGAGGGGAATGGCTCACTCCCACTCCAGCCCAAATTTCCTTGGTTCTTTCTCACCCACCAGACCCAGGCAGTGGGACAGCCACCCCCCTAGAATTCCGTGCTGTGAGGGAGCAGCTTAACCCACCTGGGACAGGAGAGGGATCCTGCCTGTTCTGCCCTGGATAAACCAGTATAGTTAGCTCCATCACAGCAGAGGTCCTCTCTGGTTTCAGAGAGAAATTCCTGCACAGTCTGGTGCCTGTAAATCTGTCTTGGTTTGCAGCTGCAGTGACACCCTTCCACACACCCAGAGTGGCTTGCAGGGCTCACTTCTGTACAGCTGTTTTTGTCACCAGCTGACACACTTAGGATCTCAGCTCACAAACAGGTTTTTCCACCAAGTACCAAGGGTGCAACTTTTTAAAGTCTCCTCATTCTTATTTTAGCAGATGCCTATCCACTGATGCTTTTACTACCTTTCCCTTTCTCCTCCCTCCTGCCTTGATGCCCCAAACACCTTCCCCCGTGCCTCACACTCCTCTTCCCTTCTCCCTGGCCGGGTCTCAACCTGGCCACTGCTACTAAGCTGGATGCCCTGAAGCATCCCCTTTTCCATGGCAGCGTTACACAGATACTGGAGGCAGCAGAAGCTTTGCCAGCTGACAGCCCATTTTTGACTAGAGATGGTAGAAAATTTTCAATCAAAAAATGCTGATTCAATCACACAGAAAAAACTGCGTCCAGCCAGTGGAAGTGTAATCAAAATTATCTATGGCTTTCTTATGAATGCTGTATTTTAATCTCAGATACATAAGACATGCAAAATCTATGCTTTAAAGCCAAATGAGAATATTAAAATTACATCAACATCTCAGTAAGATTATTCTGAGATTTCTGAAACCAGTTTTTGTTATTTGATGGGAATTTCCTCTTAGTTTTGACTAGGAAAAATTAAAGTTTGAAATCCCAGAATGTCTATCGGAACAGAAATTGGGAAGACCGTCTATCTTACTTTAATACCAGGAGCCATATCTTCATCTCATGCATGAAGTTGAGTGAAGCCAGTGGTGCTCTTTACAGAATATTGCTGGGATCAGATCCCAGCCCAGCATCTCTGCCACAAGCCAGTCCCAAGGAACATGGAGAAAAAACCTCCAGCATGGCACTGGCAGCTCCCATGCCATTTCAGATCAACAGAATTGTTCCCTGTGGCCCATTTTTACAATTTTATCCTTATTCGGATGGCTCCATCAGTGGGACTTTCTTCTCAGAGATCTCACTGCTTTCTTCAAATTTCTTGATGTGTTATCAGAATTTTCCCATGCCTCGATTCTGAGTTGAATTATGCACTGGTTTTAGTAATTCAGAGGTATTTCCAGCTGTGTTGATACATCACCCACAACTTCCAAATACGCAGTTATTTATTATTGGCACCTCACTTCTCCTGGAGCAGGTTTCACCCTTATGCTTACATTTACTCATGGTTTTGATATTCTTTGGCTGCTTACTTTACTTTTGCTTTATTTCTTCCAGCCCTGTAAAATTTGATCTGCTACAAGCGATGTTTAGGTTTATCCACGTTTCCTCTTGCCCCTTCCCGCTCTGTGAACTGGCTCAGCTTTGTGAAATGCTTTATTGACATGGTTGTGCACCTTCCTTCTCACTTGCTTTCATGTGGTTCTCTGTTGCACAGCCCAGGGTATGGTAAAAAGACTGTGCTTCCATACCTCGTGGGCAGTGGTGAAACCCCCTGACTAATTTTAGACTGAAGTACATCAGATGTGCTATCACAATCTGATGTGGAGAGGTATCTGTTGGACCAATGTGCTATATTTTAAGAAGTTTTACAGCTCTTTATTTTCACACAAACACCATCTGGGAAACCCAGGAAGCTTGTTCCAGGAAACTTTTCCTCAAAAAATGGACAACAGAGTAAAGCGGACAGGTTTGTCTCACAGTATTGCAAAGCTTTCTAAATGGGAATGTTTCTAACTTTAATCATCACCTAATTCTCACCTCCAGTGCCCTCTGCCCAAAGCAATAAAAGTTGAGACACTCTGTGCTTGACCACAGGGCTGCAAGTATTTTGGAGCTGGAGTTTTGGAGTCAAGACTGGCAAGGACAACCTTGCCAGTTTCCTCCTCTGAATCACAAATGACGACTGACACTTCTTCAGATTATTGATGATGCAGAAGAGCAAATTGTAGGAGGAGGCATCTCTCATTTTGCAAAGGGACGTGAGACTCAATGTGTCCTTGTTATCCACATTCATTATATTTGTTAGTTTGTTTACCTAATCAGTGCCTGAAACACTGTCTGCTAAAGAGAGAAATCTCTCTGCGGTTGGCCATGACACAGGAATCTGAATTAGCAAAGGGATATTTTAAATCATCTATGGTGGTTTTGTGTATTGTTTCTGTATTGTTTCAACCTAAAATTTGTCACTGGTTGCACTAATTTTCTTGGCTGCTACTTTCCAAGCTAGTATACACAGACAGGAGAATTTGTATTGGATTTTTTGTCTTCCTAATATAAAAAAATGTTATTTTCCCTGCGCAAGCATGCTTCATCTATTATAGGAAAATTCCAGGCTAGATGACGGTGAATTTTTGCTTCACCAAATCGTTCATACTGCCTTAGAAATAGCATTTCAACAGGGGTCTTTCAAAGAACGAGCACAAGCCGGTCCCAGCCCAAAGCAGCGCAAGCTGAATGTCCACTAGATGGCCACAAGCGGATGAACGTCCGCACCTGCAGACACACCGACACAGACACACAGACGCTCCAGCACACGCGTTTGCCAGACTGCGTGAAGCAGCTGCACACAGCTGTTAGCAAGCCAGCATCTAAAGCAAAGGACAAAATCCTAAGACCCCCAACAGCAACGCTGAAACCATCTCCCCTGCCCATGGACTGACAGGCATGTCTTTGCATACCTGCCACCTCTCCACTTGAAGCCCTTTGGTGGATCCAGCTGCAGACCAGACAACATCTCCAGTTCACCTCCACATTCAGGACCCTGCTGCCACCTCAGCACTCATTTTCTCCTGACAACTACAGCTCTCCTTTTCTACCTCCTCTGAC